ATTAGGTATACTTTCTGAGGCACACATGTGGGTTTTTTTTGGCTACAGCTGTGATAACTTCAGATTTGTTTCACTAAAATGCAAGTGGCTGGGACACCTGAATCCCTGTGTCGCCAGTTCTTAGTAGGCGTGAGAAAGGTCATGTCTCCATTCCCTAATCTATGATGGGAAATGATTATATTTTTACGAGCCCCAAAATGGCACGAAACTTTTAACTGCATACTAATACCGCCAAAATATATAAAAAAAAATAAATAAAGAGAAACACATGTTAAATACAAACCTATCTTACAGGATGTTTCACACTTTGTTCAACACTTACTAACTGAATGACCAAAAAGGCCAAGAACATCCAACTATAAAACTAACGAATCACGAACGACGAAGAAAAAAATTGGTCTAAAGAGTTTAGACAGTACTTCCCTCGCTGTCGGAAACTTGACGACTGCATGCCTATTGTGTTTTTTTTCTCATTACATTTTTGGGAATTTAAAAAAAATTGCGATGACGTCATCAACATTTTTGCAAGGACACGTATATCAGTTGGGATAGATGTAGTGTAATACTAAGAATAAAATTATTGTATTCCCAAATTTTCGGGAAAATGAATTGGGTCGTTTTGAATACTGATTTGTAACTAATAATCAATAAAATAACAAAACAATTTACTCACGTATACGGCGCCGGCGTGTACTAGGAGAGGCAACTGAAAATCGTTTATATATAAGCATTCTTAATTTAAGACGACAAGCGTAACATAGCATACGTGAGAGTCAAACAGAGAAACTGTACACAAAACCGATAGTCGTCTAGTCTAGAGATTTTTATTGCTTCGACTTCCGCTTATTATATAAAACATTGGGTGTTATTTTAATTTTTGACGGTGGAATTCACAATTGGTTGATTGTAAACATGTCTATACCACATTCGAGGAACCTAGTCAGCCCACAAAACAAATGCACGTTTGTAATGTTAAAGTAAATGTAAATAAGCGTGCTACGCTTACGTTTCAACCGAGTTTTTACTTTACAAAATTTTGTGTCTACCAAATTGGGTTGGTCCAATGTAATACTTATTATAAGTGTTGCCTTTAATTTAATCAATAAAATAAATTGACTTCATTATTTTTTTTAGCCACCTCTTAAGCAAATCTAACAAATATGAATGGAATGATAAATCACAAGTACAAACTCATCATATTTTTTGCATTTTAGATAGGATTTATTCAGCAAAATTTATGGGTGACGTCATCACTTTTTTTAGGGGGGATGAACAAATACATTATGAACAAAAGTTTACCATGCTTATGATAACTTTAAAATATCTCCAAGATTTCAAAGCATTCGGTTTTGTAATTCCTGATTAAATCGATAAAATAAATTCACGCATTCATTAATTTTTTTGAGTCACCCTGTATGTGCAAATCCAAAAATATGAATGGAATGATAAATCACAAGTACAGACTCATCATATTTTGTACATTTTAGATAGGATTTATTCAGCAAAATTTTGGGGTGACGTCATCAATTTTTTAAGGGAGATGAGCAAATACCTTTTGATAAAAAATGTACCATGTTTATAATAACTTTAAAACATCTCCAAGATTTCAAAGCATTCGGTTCTGTAATTCCTGATTAAATAATAAAATAAATTCATGCATTCATTAATTTTTACTTCTCGAGCGTAAGCAAAGGAAGTATTGTAATCGAGTCCGTCGGCCGACTCTCTACTTTTACGTTTTCTCGATCTTTCATGACCCCTAGAAGACGTTCATTTCCGTCTGTCTGTCCGTCTGTCTGTCCGTCTGTCCGTCTGTCCGTCTGTCCGTCTGTCCGTCTGTCCGTCTGCCGTCCTGGATTTTTATTAGACAGATAATCTCCGAAAGTACTGGACCGATTGTTGTGAAATTTTGTACTTATATTAAGAATATCATGTAGATGGTAAAACGCTAACCAAAATTTGCCTAATCATCCCCACCACTAATGCTATGACGTCACTTCAAAATTGTACATAGTAAATGGGTTTTCAATTGTATAAAATAACATAGTCCTACACATGTAGTTTACAACTCCGAATCGACTTTTCACCCGAAACGTCCAGATTTTTGGAAAAAAAATCAAAATTATAAAACAACATTTTGCTTGCTTATCCCCTCCAAAAAATTGATGACGTCAGCTCGAAAGTTTGCCGAATAAATCCTATCTAAACTGTAAAAATATGATGAGTCTGTACTTGTAATTTATCAAAAAAATTAATGAATGCGTAAATATATTTTACTAATTTACTCAGAAACTACAAAACCGAATGCTTTGAAACCTTGCAGATGTTTTAAGGTTATAAAGAACATCATAAATCTTTAGTCAAAGTATAGTGAACCAAGAGCTATAAGGTTATATGGCCATCATAAAATCATCCCATTGTGTCGAAGTTAAGTTGTTTACAATAGAAAAGGTTTTAGGGTCGTAAATAACGAGTCTACTACAGCTCGACCGGCTCTTGCGGTTTCGTTCAGGGGCGGCTTTCACTAAATATGAAAATCCACCACTCCACTATTTCTTTGCTACCTGCAGCCGCTGAGGGTTCCGAAATAACCACTCGCTTTGAAAGCCGGCCCTGTTAAATATGAGCAAGAAATGTTTAGAAGATGATTTATTGCCAACCGGTAAGCTTAGTGCGAACCACACAAAGGGGGTATTTATTTGCGGTCAACTAATTTTATGATGGCCATATAACCTTATACCTCTTGCTTCACTATATATTTGGTTATCCCCTCCAAAAACTTGATGACGTCAGCTCAAAAGTTTGCCGAATAAATCCTATCTAAAATGTACAATATATGATGAGTCTGTACTTGTGATATATCACTCCATTCATATTTTTTGGATTTGCATATACAGGGTGACTCAAAAAATTAATGAATGCGTAAATTTATTTTACTGATTTACTGAGGAACTACAAAACCGAATGCTTTGAAATATTGAAGATGTTTTAAAATTATCATAAGCATGGTAAATTTTTGATTAAAATGTATTTGGTTGTCCCCCCTAAAAAATTTATGACGTTACCACAAAATTTTGCTGAATAAATCCTATCTAAAATGTACAAAATATGGTGAGTCTGTTCTTGTGATTTATCATTCAATTCCATTTTTTTTTATTTGCATATACAGGGTGACTCAAAAAAATTAATGATTGCGTGAATTTATTTTATTGATTTAATAAGGAACTACAGAACCGAATGTTTTGAAATCTTGCAGATGTTTTAGGGTTATAAAGAGCATAATAAATTTTTAGTCAAAATATATTTGGTTATCTTCTCCAAAAAACTGATGACGTCACCTCAAAAGTTTGCCGAATAAATCCTATCTAGAATATGCAAAATATGATGAGTCGGTACTTGTAATTTATCATTCCATTCATATTTTTTGAATTTGCATATTCCGGGTGACTCAAAAAAAAAGAATGTGTAAATTTATTTTATTGGTTTACTCAGGAACTTCAAAACCGCATGGTTTGAAATCTACTGCAAAAAAAAAACATAATAGGCATGCAATCGTCACGTTTCCGGCAGCGAGGGAAGTACTGTCTAAACCCTTTAGACCAATTTTTATAATTTGGTCTAAATTAGCCGGAAATCTATTTTAACGAAATTCATTTACTAGAACTAAAGTTTTCATAAAAAAATTCGTCGAAAGTTGTTTCGACAGAACTTCCCTCATCGTTCCTGAACTACAATGATAATTTTTTTTGAATCACGCAGTATACGCAAATCCATAAAATATTAATGACATGATAAATCACAAGTACAATCATATTTTACATATTAGATGGGATTTATTCAGCAAATTTTTGGGGTGACATCATCAATTTTTTAGGAGGGATGAGCATGCTTATGATATTTTTGCTGGAGATAAGATCACGAGTTAAGCTTTCAGCAGTTGAAACTAGCGTTAATTACGCCACCAGTATAAAATATCCTGACTTTAAACGCCCATTTATTCTTGTAACAGATGCCTCAAATGTATCTTTAGGAGCAATCCTTTCCCAAAAATACGACATCGGACATCCTGTGTGGTAAACAAGCAGATGTCTGAAAGGAGCTGAAAAGATTTACAGAACTATTTAAAAAGAATGTTTAGCAGTGGTATAAGCAATTAATTATTATTTTACTATTTATACTCATCATCGACCTTTAAAATATCTATTATCTATGAAAAATCCTAGTTCTAGGCTATAACAGTCATTGCAAGATTCTCGAATAGTCTGTTTATGTTGACGAGGACACCTTATACTTATAAGTAGCGCTAAGGGCAAAGAATATTTTACACAATAAGTAGGGTTTAGAACATTGAGTATTTTTTGAAACATGAACAGACAAATTGTATTTGGTTTAATATAAATATTTAAGCGGATAAGCCAGCAGTAGATATTGAGGTAGCAAAAGATTGACACAAATTCTTGATTTATGACGCTAGGCTTAGGTAAGCCGGTAACCACACACAATAGGAGTTATAACATCACATTATTAAGTTTACTGGGGCCATATAGCCTTGTAGTATTTGAGAGATTATACATTGTGGTACTCAAGCTAAAGAGAGAGAAGCTTAATTCAAAAAATACGAAAATAGTGGATCAAACGACTTTGTGTTAACAATACATTAGGGAGATTATAACTGTTGTAATAATATATAAAGTTTTCTGATATTTTGTTTACAACCGTAAAACTTCCATAAAACTTTACAGTGTATAAAAATCTAGCAACGTAATTTCTTATTTAAAAAATGACACAAGTTCATAAGAATTTCAAGAAAGCGAAAATCTTGCAACCAATTTTTTGTTGCAGTAATTGACAAAAAGGCAGATTTTACATTCAAATTAAGCTTTAAAGCTCTATTGGTATCAGGATGACAAATAATATTGTTATAATTTACCTATATCTTATCATTCAATTAAACTTAGGTCGATAAAAATTTAATGTTTCTATACAATCCATCTTAGCAATCTACCTACTACTTTAGTTTGTGTTTAATCATGGAACAAGAGAAAGTAAGTTATAACTATAGTTTTATTCATAAGCAAATAATTTGGCTCTAAATCAAAAAATTGTTGAATATCAGTTTTAATCTCTATGTATGTAGTACTGGAAGTGACTCTTCCTCTCACATATAGCAGAATTATCTGTACATTGACAAGTGAAATCTATTTATAGTTAGTTTATTTTGTTTTTGAAAACACCCTTTAACCAGAATTTTGTTTATTTTTCGACGATCGTTTCGGATACTTAACTAGCCACCTTTAGGTAAATTAAAATGCATTTATAAATCACACTGTAATTACTAAATTGTAACTGGTATTCAAGAAATTCCTCGACAATTGTTACTAATTTGTAAAAAAACTGAAGATGGCTAATTAAATAGCCGAAAACGGTTGCCAGAATCTAAGGAAAATGCTGAATCAAAAGTGTTTTTAAAGAGGAAATAAACCTAACCAAAAAAATTCATACCAGAATGATTACTCATTGACAGGGATTGACAGAGGTATGGTAAATAAAAAAAACAAGAAAACTTAGGACCATCATAAAATTGATACTAGTTTTTTTTTCAACGAAATTGAAATCAGTGTCACATTTAATTCTTACGAGTAATATTACTCTTTGGGCATTTGTTGTTTAAACTTAAAACTTAAAAAGTTTATGATAAAACATAATATACCTCCAACCTCTGTTATCACATTTCTAAAATCAGTATGAGTGTTTACTTAACAATTCAATACATATTGAAGTTATACATTTTATCTGATGGCAAAATTTAATCAACACTAAAATTAATCATTGAACTTATTCTATTCAAATATACCTTTTCACTCCTCTGCTCGGCTTTAAACAATAAAACTAAGGCCACATTAAGGTGACGTCATCAACATTTTGGGGGTGGATAAATTTGTTAATCTGAATTTGTAAAATTTAATTCTTATAGAACTTATTATAATCCCAGAATAAAAAAATACCTACTGTTTACTGTTTACTTATAAATATTTATCTATTCAATATTGTTTGGAGTGATTTTGTCCGCAATATCTATATCGAAAAGTATTCATTGTCATAATATACAATGTAACATGAATCTTATTGTTACTATGTAATCAGTTTCAAAAAACAAACACATAACAAAAGACGTATTTTCCAATAAATAATTCTTTGTTGACACAAACTGAGACAAAAATATTTGAAACAATTCCCAAACTTAACTTAATTTTTTCTATCTACTTCGTAGGTCTTCACAAAGCTGCAAGGCACTACAAATTGGGGTTTAGAATATGAGCAGCTAAACATTACCAACTTAACCATAAAACTGGCAACAGATGATGATGTCGTAGACTTCAAAATATCATCAAATGATGGAAAGTATCGTCCTTTTGATGATATTGTCTGTGAAATTGAAAAAAGAGATGGTACTCTTCGTGAATCTGAAAAAACCAACACGAAAAAATACGCCATACAGATGAAGCATGCCAATGAAAGTGGAGAACTGACGATCAACGATCTTCAAAAGGGAAAGTTCAGTCTGTTGACATATTTTCAAAAATTTCAAGACGCTACTCGTCAAAGCAACAACCTCAATAACTTCAGTCTTATACTCTACACTAACAGAAATTTTGACGATTCACAAAGAGAAGTTAGCATTGGATCCGGCGAGAAGAAAGTCGAACTGGTGATACAAAAATGCGAGCCAGAAAGACTACTGAATACCGGAAATCGAGGTTGCTGTTATCAGTTTATAGTTGTTGATACGAAAGACATCGAAAACAAGTGTTTAACAGAGTATAAAAGATTCTTTAACCAGTTCTTTTTATATACGGGACAGATGGGCACAGAAGAACTGCGTTACAACATGTTTGAACGTGAATACATGAAACAAGAAGGTATTAATGCATACAACCATTTTATAAAATGCTGGTGTGAGTGCGAAGAAGAGAAATTTTTACTGGACATACATATAATTAAGGCAGCCTTAGCTCTCAATTTACTTGGGCCATACGTGAAACCTTTGCACTTTGGCAATGTTGGAAATACAGTAAGAACAGAGATGTTGAAAGAAGCCTTGTCAGAACTTGTTTTAGTAATTTTTGGAAAGAAGCAAGAAGAAAAAGTGAAGAATCTTTGGCGTGACGCCAAATCCAGGCTGGAAAAGAAATTTCAAAACGACGAAATAAAGAAGAAATTAGAAGACAATTTGAAGAAATATCTTTATATTGTCGCCCAAACTCAAGCAGAGGCAAGGATTAACGAACTTAACAATGAACAGTACACTAAACTCTTATGGCTGTTAAATGAGTGTCCTTTAATAGTTGAAGCGAACAATGTAAGTCGAAAAATTATCAAGACGCTGAATTTAAACAAAAAAATTATTTTATTAGAAGAGCGATCGCAGCAGTTTACAAAACTGAAAGATCTAACACACTACGAAGATTTTGAAAAGATCCTCAACAATTTTTATTGTTCCATACAAGGCAAAAATAACGTTCCGATAAAAACGTTCGTCGAAAGTTGCGATGAAATGTTGGAAATTGTCACCGTGAATGAATTGATTGATATGGCAAACGACTCTCTAGTTATTTGTAAAGAAGAAGAAAAGATTTCGGAGCCTTATATACCTAGACTGTTGACAAGAACTATAATTAAACCTGACTTTTTAAAACACGAGCAAAAGGATGCCCTAGTGGTGATAACCTGCTGGAAAGAAAGTGAATTATTTCGAGGTTTGTCTTTAACTGAAGTCGGCAACGAAACTGATGCTCCTCCAGATGGTACGCTTTACAAATGCAAAGATGAATTACTGGAACACGAATTTGAGAAACTATGTAAGAAAAAGGATAAGTCTCAGGGTCATCAGTTGAGATTTACCAACGATCAACAATTGGAGTGGGTTCGTAGCAGGGGAGATGTCACAGTTTTAAAATCATTTCAGGACAATACGTCCACCAGTGAGGAATCAGATATATTAAACTGTGAGACAGATAATCTGATTAATATTATAAGCGCACATCCTGGAATGGGAAAAACTGAACTGATGATGAATTTAAAGAATAATAAAAGCTCTAGCACCTCCTGGACCATAATGATATATGTTAGAAATCATAACGAATACTTCAATAACAACAAAAGTGACGTAAAAGCTTTTAAAGATTACATTTTTGAGAGAGTCGAGCACAGACTGGGAAGCGGTGACCATGAATTTGAATTAAAGTTTTTGTCTTTGGTAAGAGACTTTGGTTTTATTGATATCAGATTTATTTGGGATGGATTGGATGAGATATCCAACGATCACTTGGAAAATGTGCTGGAACTTATTGACGGATTGTCTAAAGAAGGGTCCAAGCACTGGATTACATCAAGAAATCATCTGAAGAAGAAGTTAGAAGATAAGTTTAAAGTATTATCGAAAACCATACAACCGTTTGGAGAAGCCAAACAAGAAGAATATATTAGAAAGCGTCTGCAAGCCGTGGACGACGGTTCGGACATCACTAAGACCGTAATGAAAACCATTAATCAATATCGTTGCAAAGATATCTTAGGAATTCCTTTACTGATTTTTATTCTGACAGACTTATTTTTAAAAGATAAATCTATATTTGAATCTACTTTTTCAAATGAAGACGACTTTTCTCTGTACAATCTCTACGAACACTTCATTAGAGCAAATATTCGATACCACTATACTCATAAACGAAGCTACAACAGCAATAATGAGTTTGATGCTAAAGCGCTCAAAAAAGTAATTGCAAATAAGATTAAAAATTATGAAAGAGTCGCTCTGAAATTTTATTTCCAAAGAAGTACAGAGTATGATGAATTTTTAGAAGAAATTAAAAGATACAACGATCCGATAGGCATTATAACGAGAGTTACAAAAGAAAATAATCCTGTGTTTCTTCATAGTTCCTTTAGTGAATATTTTGCTGCGCGTTTTTTGAAGAATACTTTCCTGTGTCACGAAGAACATTTCAAAAATATTTTATTTTTGTTGAAAGATGGATCAAGTGAGTTTAAAAGAATTTTTGAATTCTTGTCAGATACATCTGGCAAATAATTCTTCGCTCAAATTTTTCATAGTATCATAGTAGAATGTTAGTCTAACGTTGTAATTGTATATTTATTCTAATGTCACCATAAATTTATGCATATTAACAAGCAGACATATGTTTTAGGAGTTCGTTATTCTTCAAGAAGGGTACTTTTTGGTAAAAGATTAACCTACTTCCTAATAAATATAGCTGTAGTTAAAGTGTCATAATCATAAGTGTTAATGTTCAGAATTAAAACTAACTGTGTTGTTGGGCTTGGGAGATATTTAAATTTAACTTTTGTTAGTTGATCAGATATGAAACTCTTGTCGTGGTCGTTGTGCCCGACATATAATGAAAATATTATATACTTGTTAATAGAGATTTAGCGTACATGAAAATAATTTGGTATAACAATTGTAGTGTAGTTTAAGTATGAAAATATTGTTACTTCGATCGGTAATTAAAATTGGTGTGGGTAAAACTCAACAATTTATTTCTTACGAAGTCAAATCTACTCGACTAACTGCACGGTGATTATGTACAAAAATAATTCCGGCCCAACTTGACTGCCTTTCTCAACATTCCGAAGAAGTTCCACAGTCGAGGTCTTTCTGGAATACCCATGACAACTTCCGTCACATATCATCGCCGCACATACTAGAAAACTCATGGGCGTCGTACCGGGACGGTTTATTTCGTAACACTGCCCTCTCCTTAGTTCTGATCGCCTCAATCAGAAACATCAATGGTGTGACTATTAAATCATTACGATAAATTCAAGAAAACGTTGCAACTCTAAAACCAAATTTTTGGAAAGAATAAAAAATTAAAAAATATATAAAGCAAAAATGTAACATAACTCAAAAAAAAAACAACATACTTAACTGCTTAATCAATAATTTAAATGCAAATTAATCTTAAAAAATATAAAACTCAAAACGTATCCATTCGAGAATACAAAGGGCAATTCATCATCAAAATTAAACTGAACTTTAAAAAATAAAAACAAAAATTTAAACCTTTTACACAATTCAAATAAATATGTGTATGCAACCAATTATACATATGATTGTAAATACTAGACGTAAAAGTATTTGATAAACGAATTGTCTAAATTCTGATAAATTTACTTTCTTATAAATGTATTTTCTGTTCATTCTAACATATTTTTCTTTAATAGCGATCTTGTTTCTGGCTTTTACTTTTACCGATTGTTGTAAAAACAGTGTTTTTGAAAGTCGAGAACAAGAAATAATCTAAAGGCGTTAAATCAAGTGATGTAGATGGGTAGAGATAGTGTTTGAAGCAGTTAGGAAGTTCAAACTTGTTTGAGCTGTATGAGCTATTGCTCCGTCATGCTGTATAACAAGTTGAAAAGTCTACAAGGGAAGGTCGTGAAGTAGACTTTATGGTATATGGTAGCGTGTTTTTACACAACAACATTGATCATAGAACAGCTTGATGCTTGTTTCTGTCGAAAAAATGTTAAAAAAATCGCGGTATTTTCGGCTAAAGCTCTTGTATCTACAACATTTTTTCTGCCTAATTCACACAGTAAATAAAATCAACTGCGGATTAAAGTTTATCCGTCCTCAGTCGTCCATAAATAAATGAATAGCAGCGTTACAGGACGGATCCCTGTGGAACACCACAAGTTACAACTTCTAAATTGCGGACGATATTTCCCGTATCGCCGTAAATTTTCTATTGATCCCAAGAGAACGACTTTTCTTTTTTCACCTTCATTTCCAACCAATCATCTAGACAGAGCGACAAGACCTTTAACCCCCGCGAAAATCAATACTTATAATAATAATAATTAACCACACTGTCAAGGTGGTTGTAAATTAAACAACAATATGTGTATGCAACCAACATTACAAATTTACGTATTGGGGCAGCATTTAATAATAACAAGTAAAGAAATAATTAGAAGTGTATAAATTGATAACATGTGACGTGAATTTAATTATTGACACTACTAATCTATAAGAAAGCTCAATTTTAAAACAAATCAAATAAAAGTGCCGCAGAATCCGTGTTTAGCCGATTTTGGGTTACATCTTCACATGTTGTCCTTGTTTCACTTGTAGTTGTTAGTATTTCAGTGCGCGCGACGTGACGATGGCGACTTATCTCATTCCACCTATCTTGTCCACATTTTAATATTTTTATCAGTTTAATGAGATTTGCACGTTCAGTATATGCTATGTCCCCGATTAGGTGAATCAGTGATTACGAAAAAATTGCAAACAATCGATAAGATTATTAAAATTCAAACAACCGTTTGCAAACCACGGTTAATAAAGTTAGTAACAAGAAACGTGCTATGAATTATAACAGACAGTTCCCAAAATGGCGTCTTCTGTTGTGTGTTAGTGAGTGCTCCAGTGTTCCAAAAGTTCTTAAATTTTAGTTCAAACAGGTGAGTGTGAATTAGAACTTAAGTTAACTTAAGTGCAATTATAATTTTCAATTGTTTTAATTGTCACCGCGACCCACGGTTGTCGTTCTTAAAAAATCAATTCTTTTTTGTAGGTTAGTTTTTTTGACATTTAATTCGCTAATTTTATTTTCTCTCATAATTTACGTAATTGGGTAATTACATAAAATTGCTGAATGCCACTCGTCATCCTTGTAAAATACCCAGACATTTGCCCCCATTAAGATCAATAGTCCATTAAGCCCAACCTTACATTTGCATGTTTGCGCCCCCGAAGGGTGGCATTCACCCTGATAACGTTATCACTACAAACACATCCACAGCACGGCAGTTACAGTTAGACCGCTGACCACCTAATTTTTTTAATCTTCCGGTTTCTGGTGTGTTCAGTCAAGTCTGAAGACCAACTTTTCTTTTCTCACAAGTTTGATGCACTCGGACAAGCCGGGATGAGACATGATGACGGAATGAGCCGTTACGAAACGGGTTGACCGGTTTTCAAACGTACAAAGGTCGTTGTAGAGGTTGTCTCAAATAAATACAGAACAAAGCTATTGTTTTACGCTTAAGTGAGTGGAAAATTACTGTTTTTTATGGGATAAATGCATCCAGAGGATGGGCTGAGATGCATCATTGGAGAAGTTTTGGGGCGCAGTCTTGTGGAGGTTTGGCGTTGCGACAGTGACTGTGTGGTTCCGGGAAAGAGAAGGTGTGTTTTGAGGTGAAGCGAGTTTAAATATATTTGAGTTTCGGCTTAAAATTAGGTCGGGATGGTGCTGGTTTGAAGGGGGTTTAAATTAGGTCGGAGTGAGAAAGTGAGGCCAGGGCGAGATTAAAATAAGATGCGGCTTTTTGGCGTTTTCGAGTCGATACTTATTGTTTATCGGTCAACCAATTCTGGTTATCAGATTTAGTCACTTAGTAAGTATGTCCTCGTTTTATTATTTCTTTGTAACTGTTTTTCCCTTCACTTTTGTTTCTTTATTAAGCGGAATTTATAATAGATAGTGTAATACAATGTCAAAATTGATTAAGAGAAAACAAAGGGTAACAAGTAAAAAAAATACGTAACTAACAAATCCCAAACTTTTGAAATTGTATTAATTTTTTTTTGATGGTAGAAAATCAGTAACCCTGTTTCCATATTTAGATCTGCTCTTCCATTGTTTTACCGATTGTTTCTTCTTTTAAACGTACCTTAAAAATAGTCTTGCTTGAACTAGAAAGTTAAAAACTTATTTTTGAACGTAAACGTGTAATTTGTCTATTTGTTAAATATAGAAGTAATATGTACAAAAAAATCCTGTGTCCATAAATGTTTTTCTATTTTTTTTTTCTAAATACTGACTCATATTAAGAGTTTAAATATTTTCAATAATCACAAAAGTAACTAAAAGAGAAGGGTTTGTTAAGGGTCCTATATTGCGAGCTGTTGCTTTCCTTGTTGTGTGTAGCAAATTTCACAAATTTAGACTGACGAAATTTTTTTAATATTTCGCCATAAGAGCAAATACTTGTCTAGTTGTTTACGGAAAAAAAAAACGTTAAGCAATTGCCACTATTTTTTCTGAAAACTTATCATGTTTTTACCTTATGTTTGCTAATAATAAATTTATGTAGACGGTATCTGTAATTATTTTGAGTCATTCACCTTGATGTTTTGTTAATTTAATATAACACTATACAGGGTGTCTTTTTTTATTTGATACAACTCCGGTAACTTCTTTGTTTTGAAGATAGGTCCTTTGGTTTCTACTTTTACGTTTTCTCGACTTTTCATGATCCCTAGAGTACGAAGAAATAGGTCTCCCCTTTTCGTCCGTCTGTCTGTCTGTCTGTCTGTCTGTCTGTCTGTCTGTGTATCTGCCGTCTGTCCGAATTTTTATTAGGCAGATGATCCGCAAAACTACTGGACCGAGAGCATATATGCAGTGAAAAATCTCCAATGGTCAGTTTGCGAAGAATGCAGACCAATATCCTTCCGGACAATTTCACTAAATTCTTTCCCTCAAATTTTCCACAGGTTATTAAATATTGTCATTCTCCGCGACGTTATCGACCAATACCCGATTCAATTCCTCTCCAGCGACCCCTATTCCAAATATTCACACAATGAATTTTTTTGTTATTAAATTATTTACTTGCTGCATTATGGGATTAAACCTTCCTTCACCATTAAAAATTGTGTCCGTTTTTATTAGAAAGCTTTCAATATTCTCCTTAGTGCTTTAGCCTGCCTTTTTAAACATGCAACAAGGTATTATACTTGCTAATCCAACATTTTTATTCTTTGATAACATCGTCTCGACATTGAATATTGGCTCCAAAGTAACGATCGTTTCTGAGCTTTTGGTTTCTGTTGGAAATATGCTAACAAAGTGTTATCTGCGAAATGTTTCACTCCTTTATCGTAGCACCGCTTTCCAAACCATCCTTAGGCTGTTCGAACCTTGAACTTTACAGTGGCAATAGCGGGATTCGCTGATTCTTCGACATATACTGTCGCTATCTAAATTCATATTATTTTCTCTGTATTTTCACCACTTCTGGAAGCCGATTATCAAGAAAAACGAACGTTATAAATTAATGTTTCTGTAATCAAATGGTGTCAGGCTACGTGTAAATATTCAAAAGCCTTTTTCCTGACAACAACGTGCATATCCGCTATTGATAAACATACCGACCTGAACCCTTCGAACCCTACTAGTGTCGACCCAATGGAAAATACGATAAAGGTGAAGTTGTAAATTGTAAAAAATGTTACATGTGTGTGTCGAGTTTCAAGGAAGAGTTCTTTATCTTGTAGAACTTGACTGTTGAAACGCGGCGATCAATAGTATGAATTTAAATACATTAAAACCAAGTCTATTTCGGGTAATGACCGAAAATTCTTTAAAAAATCGGTATTCTAAGTTAAAAAAATAAATGACGTAATATATAACCTAATTTAGACGTTAATGTTCTGCCGAAATTACGAGAAAATTGGATGAACCTTTCCAGGGAAAGTCGATAAAATGAATGGACTCATACATTAATTTTTAAGACATCCTGCTGCGTAAGGAGTTCTAAATCAAAAACCAGTGTGCAAAAACAAATATATGTTTTTGTGTTGTTTTCCACCACCCTTTGACTTTCCTTTCAGAATTTATGTCGATCGATTGTACATTTCGAATCAACGTTGGCTTTACCTTCAGTTTTAATTTCATTTGTGTTGTTCCCTCGGGATGTTCCCGTGACGGTGGAGTTGATTTGTACTAATCTGCTGGCAGTTTCGAGCTCACGGGCAAGGATTTTAGTGGCAATATCGTTTTTGTTCTTGAGAGATCCCTCGATATGTCCTTCGGACACAAAGACCGATTTCCACCCCCACGTCTTTTTAGAGTGTTATATTAGCCCCATAGTCTGGCAACAATGTCGCCAAGGTCCTCCTTAAGCAGTGACCAGTGAATTGTTTCCAATTGGAAGTCTGAAATACGATGCCACTTCCTTTCACACGCTTCCGATTTTATGGATCCCCATCACGTTCCGAGTGCACTTTCTGTTGACATAATTTAAGAGAAACGATCTTCAGACGTATTAGTTCTTACGTATTTTATAAAGTTGGAGCCAATAAATCGTTTATTGTGGTAAGTGAGCTTTTGTTATGTGTTTTACTCAATCAGGAATCTTGAGGTAAATTAAGGAACCATGAACATCGATATCCTGTTCCGTAAATTGGAAACAATACGACAGTTTGGTAAAGAAGTGGTTTTTCTCAGATGAGTAAATACTTTCGGTGTATTTCCGTTAGTTCCGTGGTATTCTTGATTCGGTGTCTGTGTTAAAAAGGTAAGCATTGATTCTTTTTCGAGCAGACATCTCTGAAATTAAGAATTTTAAATAGTCAAAAAATTTTATTAATTTAAAACACCAATGTCTTCTACACTGTTCATTTTTGTAGAAGCAATTGAAAGAGTAAGCACTCCCTCGCTACAAAATACTTCCCAAATCATTAAATTTTAGTACTGGACAAACTGTTAACTAAAGAACCGAGTCCCTGGTGGTGAGTTACTGCCAATATCTATAAATGCTGAACTGACCTTACAACATTGTAATTGCAATACCTAAGAAGAAGCTAAGCAGAATATATTTAGCGTATATTATTTAAAAAACCATACAACTCTTGTCTTTGACTTATTCCTCACAATAATCGACCCGAAATATTAAATGTCGTTTGTGCTATATGAGCTGTTCCAATAGTAACCGAAAATTGCGACTCAAGAACAGTCGAGGGTTGCTAAACACCCTCGGCTCCTCCTCGTAGGTAAATTTCAACTACCCTTTAACCAGCTGAGCAGTCAAATACAATAACAAGATATTTTGTTTAATGCGTGATAATTTGGGTGTATAAGACTCGTACCTTCTAGCAAACCTCGGCTACGCCTCGGATGTAAACTCCACTTAATATCATACTAACTAATAACTAAAACAGGAATATTTTTGCATACTTTCGTTACAGCTTAGTGCCTTTTAGTTCTAATTTGATCAGCTGAGTTTGTACAGATTGGATTTGAAGGTTTTTTTTTTTAGAAAAACGACCGATTTAAACTGCTTTAAGTCTATTTTTACCCTATTCGCAGCCTATAACTTTTGAGAAACTAAAGATGGAAAGCTTTGGTAACTTTGATCTGACCAGGGGTAGGATTTTGTTTCTATAACGATAAAATATCGGTACCGATAAAATGTGGTCACCTTTTTGTTTCGTATCTGAAATTTATATTTTCGTTCTTGTCGTCTATCTCTTCTTATCGTATCGGTAGAAACAAAATCCCACCCTTGGCCCGATGAAAGCAGAACCGACTGAACTTTAACTGATTCAGTTTAGTTTAACCTGACCTGACCTAAATGGTACTCTGGCTAGACTTCACCTGACTTGATCAAAGCATATTCTTATCTGATGATAGTTGACATGACCTGAATTTACCTATCGTACAATTGGTTCT